GAAAAAAATGAGATGTACGGATTCTTTTGAAAAAGGGTTTTTTTTTTTTCAAAAGAACCCCATCTAGTCTGCGGTGTCTTTTTCGAAAAACTTTTTTCGAAAAAGCACTCTCACATGATTATGCAAATGAAGCACCAGATTTGTATATCTGTGCTTCATTTGCATTTTTGATCGGGCTCATTTACATTCCTCTTTCGGAAGAGGAATTCAGTTTAGACATAGCCTAAGGTGCCACAGGACTACTTGTTGCTTTTCAGCAGAGTGGCAGACAGGTGGGCATGTCTCAGAGGGTCTAGCACCTCCTACTGCAAATCCCTTTCAGTCTCCTTCCCTGCTTTTATTCAGCTTTTATTTCTGATCTTTTCAAAGTTCGCTTTGGTAGGAGGGGAAGCAGGAGGAGAAAGGTGAAGAGATGGGGCTTTGCTGTGCTCAGTGGCCTTGCGGTTTTGCTTACACTGGTAGCTGGTGGCGGGATGATGTGCATTAATCAGCACTTGACTATGAATATGCCACAGCCAATGCATTTTCCAGGATTGCTACCTTGACTTTTGTGATGTAAAATGTCTGGTTGCAATTTCAGCTAGATGCAGAACCTTTTCACCCTTTCTCACCAAAGCTACTCTCTGCTGGTACTTTGGCTGTGTGCTGAAAGGAATGAAATTCACCTCTTTCATCTAAGGGTGGTTCAATGCCTTCCCCACTACCAAAACTCTGTATGGGTAAAAATGTGGAAGGCCATGGCCATGTAGTAAAAGGATACATATCCGAACAACATGGGAGGCTGTGATGGAGTGGAATCCATGGGAAATGCCAGGTTCAGCATCGGGATTTGAATCCAGATCTACTAGGTCCCAGATGGCTATAGAGTCAATCTCACTATCTCTTTTGGTCTAAGAAATATTTAAACACATTTACAAATTGCAGTCTGGTGGTTATGGTGTTCTACCTGGGAGGTGTGGGACACTGAAGTTGATTTGGGACCCGGACTTGGATCTCCCATACCCTTAGCAAGGGGAGGTGGTCCGGTGGTCCACTTCTCCCAGTATCTCAGATCTAGTGATATCTCAAGGAGACTAGTCCCCATGAAAGGAAGGAACAGGAGAAATTGGGTTTTATTATGAGAGGGAAGGAATGTTCAAGAAGCACTTGAGAATTTTACCATCAAGTCCTGTTGACTTCAGTGGGTGGCATCATGATCTTCAAAAACATTTTCTGCTACAAGTTCACTTTCACCCAATTAATAAAATTCTCACAGAAACATAAGAAAATGTCAGCTTTCCCGAGAGCGAATCTGGGATGTGAAAACCAGTGCTTTTGCATCGTCTTCACAGTGCAGGGTCATGCTTTTGATATGTCCCTTGCACACATTTGTCATTTGAAAGTTTTTTTGTTCTTTCTGTATCTTTTGTGTTCACTTTATCCTTGATTGTTCATTGTCCTAGACAGACAATGCACTGACTCTTTTTGCAACCTTCCCTGTGGCATATATATATATATGTGAAAACTTTGTAATAAGAGTGACTCCTGTGGTAATCAGGCAGACAGCTTTGATTAAAAACATCTGTTAGCAGATTCCCAGTTCTAAAGCCAAGCAGAAAACAAGATGATATAGAAAGGGGCATTTTTCAGATTAAAGATGGGCTCCCCAAGGAGGCTCTGATCTCTTCTGAGAGAGGTACAAGCCAAGATCAGACATAAAAATGTATAGCATGTGGTGCTTGAAACTGTGATGCCTTTGCTTTCTATGTGATGCCCCTTTAAATGTCTGAGAGCTCTACTTCTGTGGAAGCAATCATTTTGTCCTCAGAGTTACTACAGTGTGTAATAAAGGAGCAAAATATTTCTGTACTGTCTTGGCAACTGCTTTTGATCTGTCTTGCCTTAAAGTCCTGACATTGAGGCCTAGTAGATAAGGCTATGGGCTGAGATTAAGGAGTCTGTCATTCCTTTAGTTTGCTGGGTAATAGTGGGGAAGTCACTTTGGCTACGTCTAGACTACAGAGTTAAATTGGAAAAAGAAACGCAATTTGCTGTATGCAAATTGCATATCTTTTTCCACTTTAGAGTCAAAAGAGGCTATTCCAAAATTCAGTGCATCTACAGGGCACCAAATTTTAGAAAAAAGTGCGTTTTTGACACATCCCTTATTCCTCATAAAATGCGGTGAAAGAACGCGTCCGTTTTTTCAACAAAAAAATTCCAAAAAAGTGGATGTGTTCCTTGAACACGGCATTGCTTTTCTGGAATACCAGAAGTCTCCTCAAAAAGCAGTGCAGTCTATATGTAGCCTTCCTCTCATTCTGATTTGGTTTCCCAATCTATACAACAATATTGAGCTCTGTGATAGAAAAGAGGTAGGTACTCTAATTAAAAAAAAAATGGAAGGGTACATTTTGATCTGTGTATCTCAACATAAGAAAGGGGATCTTTCCCATTCAGGGTTAGTCTCTTGAAAACGAAACCTAGGCTGGTATCATTTACTGATTTTATTTTTTTGAATTCAGCCTATTTCTTTTTCTTTGATACATCCTAAGAGATAATGACCATGTGCTCAGCAAATAACTTGCAGCTGTGTGGGAATGTTCAAAACATTCTTCCAAAACATATTTGCATGCTAAGACACAGAAAATTAAAAGAAAATGTCAGTTTCTACATTTTATAATAGGCAAATGTATGTGAGAGTTTCTGGAGGCTAAATTTAGGCTTCTAGGTAAGAGATTGAAATTCACAACTTCCATGGCAGCATTCTCTGAAGGGTTTCCAATTTCACCTGCAGGGCCAGGTAGGTAGGTAGGCTGCATGGCAGGGACTCAATGGGTATGACTACACTACAGGACAAAGTTGAATTAAGATAAGCAACTTCAGCTTTGTTAATTGCATAACTGAAGTCGAAGTAGCTTAACTCGACTTTTGGCACTGTCTACACTGCAGAAAAGTCAAAGGAAGAGCATTCTTTTCGACTTTCCTTACTCCTCGTGGAAGCAGGGTTACCAACATTGACCGAAATGCCCCTCTAACTCCAAATTAGCTGTCTTCACTAGACTGCTAATTTGAACCCTGGAAGATCAACATCAGCAGCTTGATCTTTGTCTGCAGTGTTAACGTGCCCCATGTGTGGATGAGATGATAATGTAGAAAAGAGGATATTAGATTAATTAGGAACTGCGGAACCCTTTCAAAAAGGAGGAAAATCTGAGTTCCACTTAAACCAAAGTGAACCCACATTGCTGGCATGTAAAATTTAAAAAGTCCGTAGATGTGGAGAAGAAAATGTTTTGGAAAGAGATGTCCTTCAGGAGAGGATCTATTAACAGTCATTTCATCTGTCCTTGTGAAGAGGAGAGGATAGAAGCTGATAAAATTCAACTAGGAGCTAAAGAGAGAAGGAGTCAAATATGAGTCCATTCAAATACATCCCCTTCAGGTAGGTATAAGTGCTTATATTCAAATGCAAGAAGTCTAAATACTGAAATGGGTGAACATGAGTGCTGGTGTTAGATGAGAATATTGGCATCACAAAAAATTAGTTGAATGATGATAATCAACCAGGACGGATAGCAAGCAGTACAAAATATAAAGGTATGACAAAATGTCACCCTCCCTCCAGTACAACCCACTTTGTGAAAGCATAGAGTCAAATATACTGTAAATATTAAAACAATCAAGTTATATCACAGAATCTCTAGGAGAGAAATTTCCATGCTTGAACAATAAGCATGTAGTAGAAGGAATATACTATTGACCACTTGACCACAAAGATTATAGTGATCATAAAATGCTGAGGGATATTAGAGATGTTATTAAAAATAGCCTGTTTTTGAAGTTTTTCTTTCTGACATGGCAACTTACAAATCCAAATCTGTGTGTCCTGGAAGAATAAAATGATCCCCCACTGGCTTTTGAATATTGATATTCTTAATGTCTTGCAGTGTAGATGTACCCTTAGACAACCTTACTTTGAAAATTTTATTTGACATTTTCTGATGGTAAAGAGATTCTCTGATGGGTAAAAGATTCAGATAACAGAGGCACTCCAACATTTATAGGTGTTTCCCTAACTTCATCAGAGCCACTTGAGCATAAAAATCTCCCAGGGTCCAGATAACAGAGGTCCTGTCGAAAGGTTCTGTCATGAGAATTTTCATGGTGACCTATCGTTGTCATAGGATATGTGTCCTTTCACTTTGATTCCAGGCTGTGAGCTAGAAGAACAAAGATACTTTTAAATGAATGTTACTCTAAAAAAGCCATGCAAAAGTAACTTGACATGGCAATAATTGGGTCTTGTTTTGAACAGCAAAACTTAAAATTTCCAAGATGTGAGACTCTCGGTTGATATCCACTAACGGTAATGGGAGCACGATCAAGGCCTATGGGTCTGAACCAAAAGTTATCTTTAAAAAAAAATGCTCATGAGGCAAAACAGGTCCTAATGAGTTTGAGGTAGATCTTGATATTTTAATCTAGATGCTAGATAAAAAACATAATTTTTAGCAGACTTCTTTTTCCTGTTAAGTTTTCTAGGGACTAATCCATGAAAGCCCACTGAACTGTAGGGGAACCTTTCCTTTCACAGCTCTGGATCAAGTCTGTAGGCGGAGAGGAGTCTAAAATTGCAGTCTCTATGTAATAATATCCAGGTTTTCTTACTTCTAATCTATCGGTGTCTAATGTGCAGTAAGCATCTTCCGCATAGAATAACATGTAGATATTGTGGAAGGTGCTAGAAAAAAACATGAGACTTAAGAAATATCAGGAATCAATATAAGATTGCTCATCTGTGAAAAAGAAATTGCTTAAGGGAAAAACTAGGAGGTGAATTATCCAGAGACAAATTGCTATCTTGGTCCCAGGAGGAGGTCTACATTTTGCTAAGCACTAGTTAAAAAAAGTAAACAATCAATCTAAAATTACCCTAGAAAAACTCTCACCAAGTCCATTATTTATAGGCGGATTATTTTGTTTGCTAAATTATAGAGCATGTCGTTCTTGCTCTGCAGGCAGAATTCACAGCCATGAGGGACCAATATATGCGAGGTGGAGAAGGCTTCATTATCTGCTACTCCATCACAGACCGCCAATCCTTTCAGGAAGCTGCAGAGTTTAAGGAGCTCATTTATCGTGTCCGGCACACTTATGACATCCCTTTGGTGCTGGTGGGAAACAAAATAGATCTTGAGGAGTTCAGGCAGGTAAGTGAAGTTTCTTCCCACTCCTTTTCCTCTGCTACCATAGGAGTTTGTGTGGCATGTGTCATATGGGGCTATTGAGAATTATTGACCCCAAACTGGCCTGGATGAAAGAGCAATGCACTAAGGTTTTAAGGTTAAAATGTACTTTTCACAGGGATAATCATTTTTATCCTAAAGGAGACTAATCCATCCATATTTGCAGCTAGCAGTTTTTTTCATAACTTCTTTTTTTCTCCTACTTGTAAGCTGATTATATTTGGAAGCTACTGACACATCAGATTTGGAAATACAGGATGCCATTTACACATAGCGGAATTGCACTTGAAATAAATGATGTAATTTGGGAAGAAAAAATATAACAGTTTAAAGTTCTATCTTGTTTATAGGCATGCATGTGACTACAGATGCTAATCTCCTTTTAATCATTAGCATGTCACTCCCATGTACTCCCACTTCTCTTCCTTAGAAAATCCAAAGCAGCAGTAGAAGTGAAATTAGTTTGGGGACTTCTAGGAACATCTAAAGAGTTTCACATTGATTTACAGATCATTAGCTTTCTCCCTAAATCAGACTGAGACAAACCCTAATGGTGACAATCCAGCTGTAGCATAATGCTTAGCCTGAGACCTTGAACAACAGTGCTCTGTGTAATAGTCTGTAAAATACACACAACCTGTCAGGTGCTATATATTTAAACAGGGTGGGAGAAGAGATGTGAATTCAATCATTTGTGCTTCTGCAGGGCCAGGAAGCAGTGGGAGAGTGATCCCACTGGAATCCAGGAAGTGGGCATGCATAAGCTCGCCCACATCTAAAGGACCCTCTCTCAGCCTATGAGGAGGATATTTTCAGTCCAGGAAACCAACTGATTACTTGGGACAAAGAAAAAGAAAACAGGTGTAGGCGTGATGGTCAGAGGGTCAAAACGAGAAAGCTGGAGGTGGGAGAGTGGTTGAGAGGAGATATATAAGACCTAGGTTGCTTTAGACGTAGTTCACTCAGACTAGAGAAGGTTTCTACAGGTTAATTGAAATGCCTGTAGTCAATTAAGGCCCTGCCAGCAACCTAATAAAAACCCTCTGCATCAGGAAGCATGAGGAGAGAGGTAGGAGAAAGGACTGGTGTTTGGAGGTGTGATGCTGAGAATTGAAAGATCAAAGAAAGGGAAGAAGGGAGACTCAGTTCCCCGACATCAAGGATAGCCCTACCGAAGGGGAATGAAGGTAAGAAACCCACAGGTGTTGAGAGGGACTGGGGCTCAGAGTGAGGAGCAAAACCAGACCCTTTCTCCACTTCTCTCATCTACCACCTACTTGGGCCATGAACATGTCCCTTAGCACCCTAGAGCAGGGGCAAGGAGTAGCATCCTAGTCCCCTTGCCAAGGAAAGTATGGAACCCCCTACCAACATCGGCCATTTTGTTCCATATTCCAGGACACCTGGCAGGAATTCGCTAGATTTATTTTTTTGTAATCTAATGTTATCTATGGATGAATTGTTCTCAAGTCACTCTTTCTGATGTTTTTGTTATGTTCCCCCACCCTCTTTATCTCTGTAGTTCCCTGGTTCTGAGCTTATGTTTTATTAGATATTCAGGCTTGCATTAGTTGCTAGACGAAACAGTCATACTACTGATATGATGGTATGTCACTAATAAGTTTAGTAGCATTCCTGATCTAAAAGATGGGCTTGAAACAAAACTGGAAGTCCAAATATCCCTTCACTTTGAACAACTTTAGACAAAAGTCCTTCTAGGCCACAGTAAAGTTTTAGATTCAGCCCTTTCTGGTGAAAATATTATGAAAGCTGTGGACCAGTTGTTGATGTTTGGTCCATTTCTAAAATATTACGTTTCTGACTAATGAAACCCTTAATGGTACTATTTATAGTGAGCTTTTAAAATATGTATTTGTGATCAATTAAAAATGTGTCAAGTGTCACAATAAACTCAGTCCTCTCTGCAGTGGATGATGGTTGAAACTTTATAACGTATGTGTTAGAGAACTAAATCAGGTTGGATTTTTGTTTTATCAGATCTCAGAAGCTCAGGGAAAATAATGTGGTCAACATTCGGATAGGAGACTTTACAGGAAACTCCAGAGGGAGAAGGGCTGCGAGCACTGATGCTAGATGTCATTAAAGATCTTGGGTAAAACTTTCAAAAGTGCCTAAATGGCTTGGTAGCCTCAGTGCCATTTTCAAAAGTAACATAGGCATTGAAGATCCCATTGATCTCATTGATTTTCAAAGTGCCTTAATCTGTTTTGAAAATGGGACTGGGGCTACCAAGCCATCAATGCATTTTAAAAATGCTACCTCTCAGGTCTGGTTCTGGTCCAAATCTTTTGAATTCAAAGTTCTTCCATTGAAAAAATGGCTTTTTGTTAGAACCATTTGTCAGTGAGGAATTTTTATAATAATAATACTCTTCATTTTTCACAATGTTTCATAGGGGGCTTTTTAGAGTTTTAATCTGAGAAGAAAAATGTTGGAGCTCTACCAATAACAATGGTGTCCTCCACGCAAAGAAATGTTCTATGTTCTGTCCGTGAAAAGTCATGCTTTGCATGACAGTGACTGAAGAGGTACAGGAACTGGTCCCTGGCAAGCCTCTGGACAAATTAATCTCTGGTTTCCCCTCCCCCCCAAAATGGCTATCACCAAGATTTGCAAAGCAAAAAAACATGTTGACAAAAACATTCAAGAAAGATGAGTCCATTTCCAGCCCTGAGAAACAAAAGCAGCTTGAAAATGTTGGACTGTATTTCAGTGTGGATTTTTTTCTTTGCCCCAGCTCTACTCTTCTGCTACCTTTTGCATGGTTATGGCTGTTTTTCCAAACGACTATAATAAGAGGTCTCCATGCAACCATGAACAGAGGACAAACATCTGTGATGTTATTAAGACTTATTAACTACCACTGAATAACAGTGGTCATAAAATGCTAAGCCTAAGAGGAATGGGTGAAACCAATGAATGTGCTTTTGCTCATGTCACTCAGGCAGAGCTCTCAAGATGCATAGAGCCCTGCAAATCCCACAGATGGGAATCCACATCTACAGATGTGGATGCCGATATCCCTGGCTCATTTTTGTAGATATCGATACATTTTTTGTATCTAGAAACCAGCAAATTTGCAGATACCTGTGGATCATTTTTGCAGCTGCGGATAACCATCTTATATCCACACAAGGCACTAATAGTGCTTCTACTTACTGGAATGCCTCCCATAAAAATGGAAGTCCTGCAAGGCTCCATCTTATATGCTGAATATGACAAAAGATGAAACTATACCAGGCTTGGGCAAAATATGGCCCACAGGCCGGATTCAGCCCACCAAGCCACCAGATCCAGCCAATGGATGCATTGGGGAGGCTCAGGCAAGCTCCCTACCTGCCCCACCCCCCATCTGCCGCTCAGAAAAGTGGCTACTGAAGGGCTTTGTTTGAACAGCTGAGACCCCAAGGGAGAAGAGAAAGGCTTCATGTGCTGCCCCCTGCCTCGTCCCCTCAGGATGTAGCTATTCAAAGACCACATGGCCCCTGCAGCCAATGCACAGGTGGGGCAGGCAGGCAGTCTGCCTGAGAAGGCTGCTGGAGGGGAGTGAAGCAGGTTAGTCTCCCAGCCAGAGCCTGCCTCTGGCGCCCCAACCCTTGGATCCCGTCCCAGGACCGCTTCTTCACATAACCCTAACCCTCTGCCCTCTCCTGCAGACAAAGAGTCATAAAATGCTCGGACTGGAAGGGACCTGGAGCAGTCATCAAGTCCAGTCCTCTGCCCTCATGGCAGGACCCAGTACTGTCTAGACCATCCTTGATAGACATTTATCTAACCTCCTCTGAAATATCTCCAGAGATGGAGATTCCACAACCTCTCTGGGCAATTTATTCCAGTGTTTAACCACCCTGACAGTCAGGAACTTTTTTCTTATGTCCGACCTAAACCTCCCTTGCTGCAATTTAAGCCCATTGCTTCTCGTTCATATCCCTTCCCAGATCCTGCACCCCAAACCTCTGCCCCAGGCACAACCCCCCCTGTCTTAGGCTACAACCCAAACTCTATGCCCTATTCTGCACCCCAAACTCCTGTCCCAGGTCACAACCCAATCCCCTGAACTCCCTCCTGCACCCTAGTCCTCTGCCCCAGGTCATAGCTCCCTGTTGCCTAAAGTCACAACCCAAGCCCCTGCACCGTATTCCCCTGCTCCAGATCACAACTGCCTCCTTCTTGCAAACTCCCTCCCAGACCCTACACCCTCTTCTGTACCCAAATTCCTTCCTGCAAGCCCCCTTCTTCACCCAACCTCCATCCCAAATCCCACACCACCTCCATTAATATCATGGAAGAGTGGGGCCCTCGACCACTTTCCAAATTCTTGGAGTGACCCCTCCCCCATCAAATATTACAGACCGCTCTTGGGGTATGTCTACACTACCCCCCTAGTTCGAACTAGGGGGGGTAATGTAGTCATACGGAGTTGCAAATGAAGCCCGGGATTTGAATTTCCCGGGCTTCATTTGCATAAAGCCGGCCGGCGCCATTTTTAAATGCCGGCTAGGTCGGACCCTGTGCCGCGCGGCTACACGCGGCACGGACTAGCTAGTTCAGATTAGGCTTCCTATCCAAACTAGCTGTACGCCTCGTGGAACTAGGGAGGTAGTGTAGACATGCCCTTGGACTACACCTATTCTTCTCACATGAGGACCTAATAACAGTGGTCTGGTTTTCAGTCATGGGGCTACTTTAAAGGCCAAAAAGAAACTTCAACCTGGAACAGCCCCCCTGCTAGATGAGAATGGACCACACTAATGTTCAGTAGCTAATTTTGTCTCCACGCAAATCAGGGTCCTGATGGATTTTTTTTAAAGCCTCTAATGGGCTTCATCCAGTCTACCTTAAAAGTTCTCCCTCCATGGCCCCTCAACAACAGTCAACAAACACACTAGTGTCTTTGAGGCAGGATGGTCTGGAGCTAGAGAATAAAACACTCTGGGTATATC